CTCCTTCCTCATATTGTGTCCCGAAAACTTCAGCTGCCAATTCCTGATATTAAATAGAAGCCTCCACCTTTATTAATCCTCTCGAAGACCTCATCGTTGCTAACAGGCTCGGTCCATGATATCTGTAGCATCCTTCTCAAGAACCACATCTCTGTTGCCTTGAGCCTCTTCTTCATCTTTGAGAAAATCGTCCAATATTCGCTGCTGTAAAGAAGAACAGATGTCATATAACGGCTCAGTATTTCTTTTCTTTGGTACCAAAGAAATCATCCTGTCTCGCAGTACTTTGCTCAGCTTTTGGAATGCGGCCTTAGCTATCCCAATACGTCTATACGCAGACTAAATATATATATATATATATATATATATATATATATATATATATATATATATATATATATATATATATAGTAATATTATATCAAAATTGAAATATATATAATATATACAAATTAGAAGAGACGGTTACATTTAACAGTTTCTACAGTGAAAGGGTGAGAGCGAAATACCAGCCTAGTTGAACGCTTAAATTCATGATATCTGGGAACCAGCGAAAGCAGCTCATGGGAGCAGTTACCGTCAAAATATTTGTAAATAAAAGACAGAGGGGGGCAACGGCACGTCTGTGAGAGAGCGGCTGCAGACGAGATGCCTGATTGAGGCCAATAACATTGCATATTCGCCTTTGGATTTTATCGAGGACCTTCAGACAAACAGAAGGTGGTCCAGACTATATATGGGTGCAATATTCTATGCAACGACGAATGGTTGATTTGTAGATTTGAAGGATTGACTCCGGCGAGAATAATTGCCATGCTGCGGCACAGGCAGCCGACTTTCCTTGAGGTGAACGAACCTATTAACTCAATGTATTCGTTCCATCTCAGGTCAGCAGACAATATGAGACCGAGCAGTCGCAAACAGGTGATCTCATGGAGTTGAGCGTCAGACATTCTAATGGGAAGCAGCGATGGCTCTCTATGGTGAGTAATAGATAGCAGTTTTTGTTTTTGAGGCATTAAAGTTAAGCAGTATATTCAATTAGGCGCAAATACTCTTTGGACATATATGAATCCAAATTTTATCTACCAGCTATGGGCTAATAAGTAAGACTTAAATAAACAAATCCTTATCTTCAGCAAAAGAAACATTCTTAAAATCTACAAGTATTTCATGACATTAAATAACGCACAAATATTGATCAACCTTAGAAAACGAATCAGTCAACAAAACAGTCGTTCTGTTACCGTGGAATTTTCTGTAGGGACAGTTTTAATGGATGTTTCCACTGTTTTGACTTTAGAGTCTAATCTTGATGGAACCTACACTCGGTTGGGAAGCGCTATACATAACCTCTTGGAGACAACATGCAAGTAAATAACAGCTCTATAGTACTATACCTGATATTTCTTCAATCTTAAACGAACGCATAAGGCGCTTTGAAAGATATGGCGAGCTGGCGGGCAAAACAATAGCTTGTGAGAATCTTTTTGCTAGGCATGGAGCAAGACGGGTTGGTCGTCCAACAACAACCCACAATGCCACAGCCTAATGAACTTCCGGCCTTGATGCAAGTCTAAGATGGTTTTCGTGATAGACGCAATCATGTCAGAGAAAGCTCGGCAGAATAAAAAAAAATTAACCATTAGATGAGTTATATGAATATTAGCATATGTGGATTAGTAATGCTAAATATTAGTCTTTTCCTTATAAGGAAACATTCATCAACCGAGCACCCAGTGCTACTCGAGTGACGCTTTTTTTACTCCCTGGACATCGGACTGAGATCAATGTGTAATATCTGTCCTCCTCATCTTAAATGATTATGGAAATTTTATCTGTTATTTTCATATTTAACAATCATTGGCCGAGTAGTCAGTTCTGCTGTCGGTTGAAATGCCTTAAATTATTATCTTAAGCATTTGAGCCTTGCGTTCCAGAACAGTCTTCACTAAATCATTATCTCCAAGAAATGAAAATTCTTACAATCTACAAATATTTTATACCATTAAATAACGCGCAAACGATTGATCAGTGTTCGAAAAGGAATCAATCAACAAATCAATCGTTCTGTTAGCGCGGAATTTTCTCAGGTTACTCATTAAAAATTTCTTCAGATGGAAGGAAGCAATTCATCAAACCCTATAGACTTTCGCTATAGAATCACAAAGAATATTTATATCAAATAACAAAAACCATGCAAATTGAAGATTTCCATCGGCAGAATTAAGAATGGGTAACACAAGTAAGAAAACTATGATTAAATAAGCAATATGTCCACTTTCAACACAACTTTAACTCTTTGAGCCCTGCGCTCCTGAACGATTTTGCCCGAGCTCCTGAGTCAAAATTCGCAAATAATTGGTACGTAATATTTCACGGTAGATATAAATGTTTGCGCACTGTTCAACCGGTGACTGGTCATTAAGTCATTTTTCTATACCACCGTTCAACCGGTGACTGGTCATTAAGTCATTTTTCTCTACCACCGTTCAACCGGTGGCTGGTCATTAAGTCATTTTTCTCCACCATTTTCCAACCGGTGGCTGCACATTAAGTCGTTTGTCTCTAGCACCGGTCAACCGGTGGCTGGTCATTAAGTCATTTTTCTATACCACCGTTCAACCGGTGTCTGGACACTAAGTCGTTTTTCTCTACCACTGTTCAACCGGCGACTAGGCATTGTCATTTTTCTCTACCACTGTTCAACCGGTGACTGGACATTAAGTCATTTTTCTCTATCACCGTTCAACTGGTGGCTAGGAATTAAGTCATTTTTCTCTACCACCGTTCAACCGGTGGCTGGGCATTAAGCCATTTTTCTCCACCACTTTTCAACCGGTAGCTGGACATTAAGTAATTTTTCTCTTCCAACCGGTGTCTGGGCCTTAAGTCATTGTTCTCTACCACCGTTCAACCGGTGGTTTGTCATATTTCGAGCAATATATTTTTGAAAAGAAAATTACTAGGAAAACATCTTTGAAAAAAAATTAAAAAAATATTGCCATCAACACAAATTTCTCAAAGAAATTATTAATGCTACCAAGAAAATTAAATTTCGTCATTAAATGACCCATATGATGTTGATATGCCGCTAAATAAAACTTTTCCTGAAAAACTGTTTTCAGGAAAACATTTTATAAATTCTAAACTTTTTTAAGACTTACTCTTGGGATGTTCAAGGACGTATTCCAAAAGTTGTGCAACGTATTGCGAGACAGGAGGATTTCTTTGGTAACAAAGAAAATAATACTGAGCTGTTACCTGGCATCTGTTCTCCTCTAGGTAGGGCAGCGAATGTTGGATGATTTCCTCAAAGATGAACAAGAGACTCCAGGCGACGTAGATGTTGTTCTACAAAAGGATGCTAAGGATATCACGGACCAAGCGTGTGAGCAACGATGAGGTCTTCGAGGAGGAGATTTATACATAACATAACATTAGGAAGAGGTAGCTGAAGTTTCTGGGATAAATAATGAGGATGAAGGGCCTGGAGAAACTGATACTCACGGGTCGAATAGAGGGAAAGAGAGCCAAGTCAAAACAGGGCGTGACATACTTGACAGGCTTAAGCAAGTAGATGACAGAGCGTGGTCTGAGGGAGCAATCAAAAGGAAGTAACATATAGAGAGCTGCAAGGTATAGGGGGAGGTGGAGAGCCATAATCGGCTTCGTCTTGAAGATAACATGGCACCATAAGAAGAAGATTGGTCAATGAATGCCGAATTTGTCCTGTATTGAAACGGCTAACCTCACCATAACCTTTTCATAATATAAAATATTATTAATGTAATGTTATGTCTCTTAAGTGTATATAACATCAAATAAAACATTATATTGTATAACATCAAACAAAACATTATCTTTTGATAACATCAAGTAAAATATTATCTTTAGATAACATCAAATAAATCATCTTTAGATAACATCTAATAAAGCATTATCTTTATAAAATATCTAAGGAAACATTACTTTTAGATAACCTCTAATAAAACATTATCTTTATAAAACATCTAAATTATTACTTTTAGATAACATCTAATAAAACATTATCTTTAGATAACATCAAATAAAATATGTCTAGATAACATCAAATATAACATTATCTTCATGTAAAACATACTGAGTTAAAGAACGCCTTTTTAAAGATCAAAGCTACATTTTAAACCCACTCTTCTTCCTCCAATTTCCCTTGGCGCTATATTCAATTTTAAAGCTTGGAAAATCAAACACTCACATGGCAACTAAAAAAAAAAAAAGCTCAGTTGTGAGTTAGAAATAGAGTAGAAAGCAAGACACGATAGAAAAATGGCAAGAACAATTAATTCCCGGTTGGTGAAGGAACCTGACCCGCAGAAAAAAGGATATAAATTGAAAAAGCAAGATAGAGAGAGGTGGGGAGAGAACGCGAGTAACGACAATGTTACCATTAACTTCGCTTTATTACTTGAATCTTTTTCATCTCGTATGATTATTTTTTGTTCAGAAATTACATTCATCTTCATTTTTTCAATCGATGGCGCGGTGTACTCTATAATTGTTAATTATGAAGGTTATATAATCGCAGTTTACATTTTTTTGTAAAATAATAATTCATATATATATATATATATATATATATATATATATATATATATATATATAATTTAAATTTGTTAAAAGTTTGAACTTTGGTCTTCATCAGATAGCACAAATGATGTTCTTAAATAGCCTCGTCAAATCGAGACTTTCATATGGATACCATATATAGCGCCAAACACCTTCAGAGGTATCTAATCTGCCAGCTGTATAAAACAGTTTCTATTGATTGATTTACTGATCTATTTAATTTCCGTTTTGTCAAACATTTGGGGTCTATGTAAAGCAGAAAATATTTGTAGATAATAATATAACGGTAAAACTACCTGCTATTTAATCCATATCTGATGGAGAGAAAAAGGTGGAAGCACACTTTTCCCAATCCGAGCCGCTATCCATTATATCACTCGCGTAACCAAACT